ATTCACTATTCTATTGCTTGGGTGAGAGTGTGCGTACCTTAAACTTGGGTTTGAGAGAGCTACTTATACCTCCATGGAGTCAATTATTGCGAACAACTAGGTCCCTTAGAGAGAAGACTCCTCATTGACTCATTTGGAAGGTAGCAGGTAGTGCTTAGTCCTCGAGCTGTGAGCCTTCCTCTTTACGTGATGGAAACTCCTACATTTAATGTTCGGGCCTTCCTAAGCTTGTCGAGCAATAAATGCTTCTTATTCTTTTGAGGAGAACATTTATTGCAACCTATCTATGGCGGCGCATGCATAAGGGCACTTTTGTCCATCACTTCTCCAAGGCGCCAACATTTTAAAACTTTATACTTCGTACATCTTTAACATTAGTTATTGGATTGTCTTTCCTGCCATTCTGATTGTCTTGGAAAGGGGAACCAATTATTGACAACCCACTCTACTTCCAAGTCACAATAACTGTCAAAACTCTTAGCCATGCTTTGCCGACATGGAAGACTTGACGCCGAGGTGATGTGTCATGTAGAGAGTGCTCCGTAGACAAGATGCCGAGGACGCGTGTCATCCAAAGAATACTCTGTGGATAAGATGTCGAGAACTCCACGGACAAGATGCCGAGGACTCTTGTCATTCGGAGAACACTCCGTGGACAAGATACTGAGGACTCCGCGGACAACATGTCGAGAACTCCGCAAACAACATGTCGAGGACTTCACGGACATTCATAGAACACTTTCGCAGACAAGATGCTAAGGACTCTGCAGACATTCGGAGAACACTTTGCAGATAAGATGCTGAGGATTCCGCGGACAACATGTCGATGGCACATGTCGTTTAAAGAACACTCTGCAGCCAATATGTCGAGGAAAACTGTCTCGTCCCCTTGATCACAGAAAATGTCCCATCATATACACCACATGTTAGATGGCTGATAAAATACAACCTCTATTGAAAATCAATCACGCTATCTCACTAGCCTGTTTGAGTTCAAATACTTGGGCTCGGTTGGCCTCACTCTCTCTTGTAGTTAAAGTGGTGATGTTAGGCTGAGACATTTGGAATAAAAGGAACTTGCATGAGTCATTCATATAAGGCGGAATCACACTTTTTGCTTACTTTTTTGTATGGGATTTCTCTAAGTGCACTTAATTTTTCTGTAAAATAAAAGTTTTGTTTCTTGTCAAGAGAAAGTGGAATTGCCTCAAGCCGTCCGTTTCTTCATTGTGTTGCAGTTCTCTCTGTTTATTTATTTTTTTCTGAAATAATATGTTGTTAGAGATTTTGTGAGTTGAGAATGGACTGTTTGTAATATCTAGTTATTGAAAATGTAGGATTTAACCTGATATTAGTTAGGAGTCCTCCTTTGAATGTTTTTGCTTATTTGAGGGCATGATTGAACTACAAAGAGGCTGGGCAAAATAGAACTGTGGGTGTGTGTGGGGGGGCGAGTGCACAAACGCGTGCAATCATGAAGGGTGGAGGACAGTAGCATGCCCCTCTTTATGTAGAAAATAGTTGCAACTTCCAACCAACTACCTGTTTACCTTCCTATATTGCAGCTTTTAAGGATAATTTTATGAAGTTAAGAGCAAAAATTGCTGTCAATCTTTCACTAGAATCACTACGCCTAATAGACACTGGTGCATAGTATCTGCTTTTGCCGCAATTATTGTTGAAGAAAGGAAGCTAACGAAGGAAAGCGAGCTCGACAAAACAAATAAAGCGAGCAGTAGGAGAAAATTAGTAGTACAAGGTAGCGAACTAGAGTGTGGAGGAGAGAGAGAGATCAGTAAGGCTGAACTCAGGTGCTACACTCCACTGCCCAATGTCATAGCCTATTTGTACGTAGAGTGATGATGCCTATGAATTATATGTGGAATTAAGAAGGTTCCTATCAACAAAAACACACAACAACAACAAAAAAAAAAAGAAGGGAAAGGTGCCTATAAAGTTTTATGTGGAATGATGTCGTCCTCTTATCTTAGAACAACTCCAAGGAGACTATGTAAACTAGTTAGTGAAAATATATTTTTTTATTACACTATCTATTTTACCTAACCACTTTTTTAAATTCATTTCAACCACGTTATCTATTTTAGCTAACAACTTCAACTAACTTTAACTAATTATTAATTATTAAAATATAAAATACTATGTAGTATGTCATGTCATCACCTTATTGACGACATTACATGCTGACGAAGTTGAACGACGGAGAAAAAAAAGAAGAGAATATACTCGATGCATTTATCAGGAGTTCCAAAATTCCAAAATTTAATCATGTTGGATGCATTTATCAGAATGCCAAATAGTAAGTTCCAAAATTTTATTAGGAGTTCAGAAATTTATAAATCATGTTGGATGCATTTAATTTATGGAAATATATTGGGAGGGATTTGCCTTCTCTAAAAATGATCTTAGATAATATAATCCCAGAAATATATTCTATATACTGGCAATTGCACCACCAACAATAGAATCAACACAATGGCTACTATTCGTAATGAATTATCATACACCAATTTCTTCTTTCAGAACCAAAGCATAATGGAGTCATTGATATTCTGTAGACCGTAGCCAATAATAATTAGACAAACAATACATAACAATAGGATAAGCAACCCACAGGCACCAATTCACCAACTTGAAAGCAGATAAGCCCAGATGGAAAAATATTCCAAGTTCAATGGTAGAAAATGCTCTAATTAGGCATGCTCAATTTCCACAATCCCGTGTGAATCAAAACCCAATTGACAAATTGAAGAAACAACTAACTTCAATTCCCCAAATCAGTTAAATTCCATCATAGACTCCAAAGAATTCTAAATCTAAACTCCAAGAATTCAAGTGCCAAAACCTCAGAATCAGACTAATTCCTTAAGATACCCAATTTACCAAATCCAAAAATGAGACAAACCCATTTGAGACAAGAGCTAAACCCAACAGTCCAATATTCAAAAACCCATTATAAAAATCCATCAAAAACCCCTTACTCATCCCAACATAAGAAATCAAAATCTTAAAAATGCCACAATAACCGAATTGTTCACAGGAAATCCAACAAACAGGTAGAATGCATTCCAACACGTACTTATTGGTGATTGATCTCAAAAAAAAAAATGGACTGGTTTGTGTCTTCTGTGATGAAGCTTAAGATTACCTAGAGAGGGACACTTTCAGAGCTCAAGAGGGTTTGAGATTTGTGCCTTTTGCTATGAAGCCAAATCTCAAAAGGGATGAAGACGATGAAACCTTCTCTAGACTGATTCAGACGATAAAACCTTCTGTGGACTGATTCAGATGATGAAACCTTCTGGACGATGAAGCATTCATACGATAAACCATTTTGCGATGAAACCTCTGGGGGTGTTGTTGGCGCAAAAAACAGAATAGCGACCTCCTTTGCCCTCGCCAAGAGTAGCAGCGAACTGATGCTAAATGAGAAATAGCTAGAGTGATAGCTAGTCCCTTGGAGACTACATTTATCAATTGCTTATGTAAAATAACTAACAAGTGTGTTTTACGGAAGCACTTGGAGTTGCTCTTAGATGTTATTAATTCATTTACCTCTGCCAACACATGGCCCGCAATGGCATTTTCTTAATATTTTTGGAAGAATTGTACTTTACATCCCAAAAATTTTAAGAATTTTTATTTTACATCTTTAAAAATTAAATATTAAAATTATTGCAATATGATCTTTTTTTTTTAGCTTTCGGTGTTTGTTACCCCTAAAATAATCCTATAGACGTTGACAGAATATTCAATGGAAGTTAAACGGAATTACCGCATTGCCACACTTGTATTGTATTGAGGGCGTAACTTAAAAAATTTAATTTTTGAAAGGTACATAGTGAAAAATTTTAAATTGTTTGGGTGGAAAGTGCAATTTACCCTAATATTTTTAAGGGGAAAGAATGGAACAGTTGGTCCAGCGTCTATGGGCATAAGTATAGCTGGCAGTCATACGTGGGGTTGCTCAAATACAAAGACGTGAACTCCTCTCACTAGATTTTTTTTATTTTTTGGAACTCCTCTCTCTAGATGTCTTCTCTCTTTCTTGGCTGTATTAAAAATGGAAATACAGAATCTCCAACACCAAATGAGGAGGTTATGACAAGGGTACACCTCCTTTCTCTCTCTAGAAATCTAGAGATCCTCCTTTTTTCCATGGCCGGGTCCCTTGGTTTCTCTCTTCCACCACACAAACAGCAAACAAAAAAAATAAAGGAGACAAAAGAAAAGTCTGAATCCCAATTAACTCAGATTATAATAAAAACAAACTTTTAAATTAGTATTCCTTTTTTTTTTTTTACAGATTTTTCTTTTTTCACATCGTTCTCTTTCTCCTTTTCTCTCTCATGCCATCATCTCGCTTCCATCTCTCAAACAGAAAGAGAGAGAAAGAAAAAGCAGCAGACAGATTGGCAATTTATTTGCTTGGTAGCCTCCCCAGGAGGAGGAGGCTGTGAGCTGGTTCGATAGATGATGAACACATCTCCTCGGGTCTAGGCATATTGCATAACCCACTTTTGATACGATCGAAATCTCTCTCTCTCTCTCTCTCTCTACTTTCTTATTTTACTTTTTTTTTTTTTTCAAATTATGGGTCCTCTACTTTTCTTTTTTTTTTTTACATACGACATGGACCTGATTTTCTTGGTCTCCAAGTCTCAAACTTTAATTATAACAACGTTTCACTGCTTGAAAAACATTTCCTGATTAGACTTTCCTAGAAAATTCCCATGCATACTGTTTGACATTTCAATTCCCCCGCCCCCCCCCCCCCCCCCCCCCCCCAACCCCCGCCCCCCCCCCCTCCGCCACTGTTAGCACCATTGCAACCACCACCCCTGCTGCCATCACCTCCGTCNCCCCCCCCCCCCCCCCCACCTCTCCCCCGGGGGGATGAGAGCATCATTTTCTTTGATTCACAAGGCAGCAATAGTATTTATAAAGAATTGAACCAAAACGCTTAAGGATTTTAGTCCCAGATGGGGGATATCTCTCCAGAGAAGAAATCAGGCTGTGGCATATTGAATGCAGTTTTCGGACGTGGCAGTATATGGCCTAGAAGAACCACTTCCACAGGTTCACTTCCCGCGGTGAATGTCATCGATATTCCGAGAGTTACGAGCACACCAAACTCAAAAAGGCGACGAGGCGGTTCAGATGAGGCTGCTTTCCTCGACCCGAATTGTGTTTCATCAGAAGCATCACAAAAACAAATTGATAAAGTCATTGCTAGACCACCGGCAAACCATCCAAAGACCCCTCCAATATGTCAGAACCAAACCCCACCTGTATACCCTCAAAATCAAGGGAGGAAAATTCCCGATGAATCAAAGACGAGAAGGGTACCGGTACCACCGGGGGCAATTGGCATCTCTGGTGAGCTTGAAAGCATGATCAATGATCATCAGAGGACAAAAGGTTCTAGTACACTAGTGCGAGCTTCATCAGGCAATGTAATGTTGTTAGGCAATTTGGGTAACTTGAGACAACCAGGAGGCAATTGTAAATCACCCTCAAACAAGGTTCTTGATTATCTTCCAAAAACTGCAAAAGAGGAACATCCACTACCTAATGGAAAATACCCAAATAGTGTAATGGGAAATGTAGTGAAGAAATCCAACGAAGAACAAAAACCAACGTCCCTTTGTCGAGCTCTTTCAACTAGGATGGATCCTGAGCAGTTGAAGATTTTGGGCAATGAAGATTATAAGAATGGGAGGTTTGCAGAAGCTTTGGCTTTGTATAATGCAGCAATTTCTATTGACCCAAACAAGGCCTCTTATAGAAGCAATAAAAGTGCGGCATTGACTGCCCTTGGTAGGCTTCTTGAGGCTGTGTTTGAGTGCAGAGAAGCCATCCGGATTGAACCTTACTATCAAAGAGCTCATAACCGTCTGGCAACCCTATACCTCAGGTAATGCTATTGTTCAAAACCAGAATTTTTTATTTAGAGACTTGAGCAATAAATTCTTTTAAAACCATGGTCCAAAGAACCGGCCGAGTCCTAACCTTCTGTTCTGATACTGTCAACAAGTGTTATACATCTTGGCCTAGATGTTTCTGAATCAACCAAGGGTTGTCCAATTCATGGTATCTAACTATTGTTCAACTTATTCTTCTATCAAAGATTTGTGCATATCGCCTAAATTGCCTAATGTGCATTTGAATGCCTTTGAATTGAAGACCGATACCACAACCTTAAATCATATTTAGAACTGAATTTATGACATTTGCACACTAGGTAGCTTATCTTCTTGGTTTTGTGTTGAGTTATTTTGTTTCTGTTTGCAGATTAGGAGAAGTGGAGAAGGCCATGTATCATTACAAACATGCAGGAGCTGAATCGGACCCTGAAATTATCAGTAAAGCCAAAAAAGTTCAGGTTCATCTTAACAAGTGCACCGAGGCCAAGAAGCAACGAGATTGGAACAGCCTGCTAAAAGAAACTGGTTATGCTATATCAACTGGTGCAGATTCTGCACCACAGGTCAGTCATCGAGTTATCAATTAATCCAACTCCAATGGTCGTTTCCGTTTATAATTTCGGATAACTTATAAAGGAACACGTTTCAAAAACATCTTGAAATATAAGAAAGTTTGTTTCTTCATCCATCCTTTTAAATGTTTTGTGATGAGTACTAGGTTTGGTGGCACTGGTATGCCTGACATGGGTGTTTGTTTGGGTGTTATGGACATAGATATTTGCTTTAAAAGCCGAGGCCTTGTTGAAGCTCCGTAGGCACCAAGAGGCAGACGAGGCTTTGGCAAATGGTCCAAATTTTGACGTCGATGACTGTAGTAAATTCTTTGGCCCTATTGGTTTTGCTACTCTATTATTGATCCGGGCTCAGATCCACATGGCTGCCGGCAGGTTAGTGCTCCACACAGTTCCAAGTTCTTTGTCATTATATCTAAACATAATTTGAGACCAAAAAATATAAAATATTTGAAGATAATTTATTGATCTAATTCGTGATTAATTGTTAGACGGATAACGAGTTCAACAGAATATTGAAACTTACTGTCAATTAAATGACATTAAGCGATTAAATCTATAAATTAGATCAATAAATTAAATTCAAATAACATTACTCATATGATAATGTGAGGTTGACAGAAAAATAAGAGAAAAAATTGCTAGGAAATGATGTTGTCAAATTAATGGGAAATAAAATTTAAATTTTAAATGAATAAAAGTGATATTAAAAGCATCATAGTATCATTGCTACATCATTTAATTCTAAATAATATTTAAATAACATTTTCCTAAAAAAACAATTTAAGATTGCTTATAAACTTGTTAGCGAACAACTGGAAAGGGGATCATGTTGCTTTGGCCAATCTTTCGTACCAATTCACCTGGTATAACAGTAACTATAAGACATTGGTGGAGTTCACTAATCCAATAATTAGCTGGCGTTGATAATAATAATTAGTTGGTAAGAAGTCTCAAAAAGAAGTCCGTGATGACAACAAAACCTCAAAGTTGGTACAATTAGACCACCATCCACCAACCTCCTAAAAGGCAATAGGTTTTGTTGAACCGTAGGATTAGGAAATTCATGATAGGATTAGAGAATTTATGAGGTATATAAATAACTCATGATCTTCAAAAGAATTATCAAGTTTCGAATTCAAGATGTCTGAATTTATAGTTTATCTCAGTCTACACTAAGCTACAACTTGGAATTAATCATTTTTGTTATATGCATTCATGTGGTCTATATTAGTAAAAGTTTAAGGTGTTATTAACTATACAATTTTGTATCCAAGTGAAAGCATAATTTACAGAGTACGCTAGTGTTCTTGGCAATGGTGAGCAGTTAAAATTCATTGCTAAAGTTGAGATAAAAGGCACATCAAGGTCATTACAGAACTGTGGTGATATATCCATATCTCAAATCATGAATTGCAGTACAACTCAAAAGGGTAAAAAACCCACTGAAAAAAGGGACCAAAAGATAACCGGAGGTTGAGTCAATAAATTCTGAGCTGTCTCACAATTTGTTAGAGCCGCTTAAATCTCTCTATTCATTATTAATTGAATGTTATAAATTGGTATTAATATTCTTTATTATATGACAATCCTATCCTTCGAACTACTATTATATATATCTCTGCATGTACTGAGTAGAAGTCCCATGTATAGATGAGTATTAGAGCTTGTCTTACATTGATATATTTTCATATACTATAAATTTTCAAATATTTTATAATTGGAAGTTTGTATTGTTGTCCAATGTTGTGGTTTGCCAAAAATCTAGTTTGACCAGTGCCCATGGTGTGATTTAATGTATGGTATCCGATGGTTTGATAGATTTGAAGATGCTGTTTCCGCAGCTCAACGAGCAGCTCGGCTCGACTCAAACAACAAAGAAGTGAACATGGTAACCAGGAGAACAAGGGCCGTGACAAGTGCTAGATCAAATGGTAATGAACTTTTCAAGGCATCAAGATACTCCGAGGCAAGTGTTGCTTATGGGGAGGGACTCGACCACGACCCCTACAACTCGGTTTTGTTATGCAACAGAGCCGCCTGCCGGTCCAAACTCGGCCAATTCGAGAAAGCAATCGAGGATTGCAACTCCGCCCTTAATGTCCGCCCATCTTATAGTAAGGCCAGATTAAGAAGAGCCGATTGCAATGCCAAGGTGATCATATGCTACCCTTCCATTCTCATTCTCTTAATTAATTTTTAGAATTTTCATTTACCGGTACTTAATTGCATAACAAAGTTTATTCCTTACCGTTAAAAAAGACTTGACCAATGTAGTCATTCTTCCGGTCTCCCACTAACTAACCACCACTCATTTTGTGTTTTTTCAAATTCAATTTCTATCCTTTACGGTTTCCCCTAGTTCTTTAAATTCCCCCATGGCCGGTTAGGGTGGGAGAGATGGGGACGGGTGAAAAAGGAGGAATATTGGTGGTGGGGGGGGGGGGTTTGAGGAAGGAGGAAGGGAGCGGGACTAGAAAGGTTGTAGATTCTGTGTATTGCACATGTTCGCAACCCTATTATCTACATATAAAACAATTGATTTCATAATTGCAGAGCTTGACACGTATTCTTTCCTCATTTTTCAAACTTTTAGGATTTCCAATTATTAAATCAACAATAACTTTTCATCAAATCAAAGTTGCATATTATGTATAAAACCACTCCCCCACTTCCACTCCACCAACTTATCTCCCATACTTCAATTTTCACACACTGTTGTAACTTCTTATCTTCTAACTTTTCAGTTTTTTTTTTCTCTTTTAATGGGATTGGGAGGTGGTGAGATTGAATTCTAGGACGGATAGAAATGTAAATCTATTGCATTGTAGGGATCTACTACTAACAATATTACTAGTTATAAATACTCTCGAATCATTTTGAATCGTCTACTCTCCTCTTTTATGCTTAATTATGTGTATATCGTCCCTAATTCAACTATGATGTTCGATGTAATGTTTGTTAAAGATTACCAGTAAAATGGTTAAAAGTTATTTGCCAAGTATATATAGGTCCCTTGAACTATGATGTGTGTACTAAAATGTATGTTATTGGGGGTAGTTGGAAAAATGGGAAGCTTGTATACAAGATTATGAGGTGTTGAAAAGAGAAACACCAGAAAATGTGGATGTAAGCCAGGCGTTAGAGGCGGCTCAGGTGCAGCTCAGGAAACAGCGTGGAGGCCAAGACTTGAAGGGCATGAAAGATGGTGGTGGTGGCCAATGATATTCCGGCCGCCAACCGGGAATTGTTAGAGAATGAGCTCAAAACAATGGAAAAGCATTTGTGAAGTTTTCATCCCCAGCAACAGTGCAAGAGGGAACAGAACATGGAGTAGAAGAGGCCACAAGTTTTGATATAAAAGAGAAACAATTGTCTGTGCTAGCAGAGCCCTTTTTGCAGGAAGGAACGCAGGATTGACGCAAAATGGATTTAATTAATGTGTTTTTTTTTTGTGCTTCACAGTGTAATTGTTTAGCTAGAGATATTTGGATGAGTTTGTTAGTTCCAATCCATTGTTACACCCTTTGTTTTTTAGTAATAGGATTGTCGATGAATCAAATTTTAATCTAAATTCAAATCTAATTAATTAAATGTGGATCTATTTTTTTTGGTCGACTCTCAAAATTGAATCTGAACATGTTACAATATACTTCAAAGATTTGAATTTATTAATATCTGATCTGATTATAATACGATCTAAATTTTATTAACAAATTATTGGATTATGGATTATTTAACAAAATTGAAGTGAATTTCATGTGCTATTACTTAAATTTACTCGAATTAAGTTATTCGAATTGGATTGAATTTATAGATCATATATTCAATCTTTAAAGGATTTGGGTATTGATTGTAACAATACAATTAGACGGATAATTAGATCAAATTTTTAAGTACAAATTCCAATCGGTTGAGGGCCCAGATTGTATGTTTTTCTCTTCAATTTTTGCTTAAGTTTCCCATCATTCCCTCGAGATAGTAATCAAAAAAAAGGTCAGATTTGTGAATTATTTACATGTTGGAGGGGCCTACCACTTTATATATGTCGGAGTGCATCACAGCAAGGCTATGACTCTAATTTTAGAATGTAAAAGTGATTACCAAAGGTGATTTATCTTGTAGTTGTCGGATTGTTAACAGTGGTACTTGCTGCATTAAAATGATCTTTCCTTTTTTCTGTCGGTTAATAGTTTTTGTCATCAATCAAAAGCCAGGATTGAGAGAGAAATGATATTTTTTGGTTTTTTTTTTTTATCTAAAAGTTTTCAGGGTTTTTTTTTAATTTGTTTTGGGTGTAGATTGACAAGGTTTGTTATTAATGCTGTCAGAGATTGACCTCCGGTCGCCTGAGGAGATTATGAGCTAGGATTGTCAATTGATTGATCAAGGGGAACACTCGAAAAGATAAGTCAAAGATAGGGATGGTAGTGGACCGATAAAAAATGAGTATTCGTTTAAATTCGTTCTATTTGGACTGAAAATGGATTATACGTATTGAACGGTGGACGTATACGAAAATATTCGTATAAATTTGTACGAAAATGAAGGCGGGGATGGACTTACCTTTACCCCCGCCCCGCCCTGCCCTGCCCCCGCTACCCGTTACATATACATACATATATATATATATATATATATTTAACTACCAATCTAGAAATATGATAATCAAACTAAAAAGTGGCATTGCGATGTGGTAATCTTATTAATTTTTTTCCCTGATTATTTTTTTTCTATTTGTGTTCATTGATTGAAACTGTTAGGTGACCATGCTCTAAAAACAGATAAGAAAGAGTAATATGGTTTTGCATTTCATCGTGGGTAGAAATATTGTGAATGGAGGTTGCTGAGTTTCTCTGTTATAGTAAACTAAAAAATGAAGAGAATTATTGAATTAGCAAAATTTTAAATTTTCATCTTTAACACTTTATAGCTGTAATATGAATTGTAATAACAAAAATTATTCTAGGAAATTTCAAGTGTAGTGATATCGTTTTCTTAGTTCAATTTTATTTTCTTTTTCTTCTTTTCTCTCTAATAGTTCCGTTTCTCTTTTTGTGGTCCAATGACACTTTAAATAGAATACTATATTGTTTTGACTTTTATATTTTGCAATCTACATTATGTTGTGTTAGACTATATTAGAATGTTGTTGGATTATTTAAAATATTGTATTTATTTAGAATTTTGGATTATGCTACTTGGGCTTAGACGGGTACGAGGGAAGCGGGGACGGGGATGGGGACAGGAATTAGAAATTTACCCGCTGACGAAGATGGAGATAAAAATTATACCCGTTAACGGGGATGAACCAGGGATGAACGAAGTTTTTTTAAGCTGGTATGGGGATGAAGACTACACTCCCCGCCCCCGTTTCGGTCCACTGACATCCCTAGTCGAATATTAGAGGGAATCTAAGGATCGACCTTCCAATGTTTAAGTCAATAAGGATATGAGAAAATTGGATATCAGATTAGAGTTGAGATTGCTTACCTATTTGATCTCATTTCTCCTCCTTTAGGTTGTGCATTACCATTGGGAGAGGTTTCCTCTTTGATTAAACTTACGTGAATCTTGAATTTTCAGCAAGGGAGTGACGGTTGAATCCTTGCTTAAGTGGGAGTTTTAGGCAAACTCCAATGAATACTCAAATTCTTATCCAAATATGAGTTGAAAAAGGATAAAAAACTTGATTTGGTATAGAACTCTCAAATGGAGAAACTCAAATTTAAATGAAGAGAAACTTAAATTTAAATGAGGACAAACTCAAAATTAAATGAAGCTAAAATATGATAATTAGATTTTTAAAGGAAAGTGAAATCTCACAATTAAAAATTTGAATATGGATTTGAGTCTCCATTGATTTGAGTAAAAAAAAAAAGTCTTTATTGATTTGATATGATTATGTGTCTAACATTAGAGAAGATTTTTAAGAGTTTCTTACCGAAATTTAAATTTGAGCTTACAAAATAGTAAGGATTAGAGATGCTCTTAAGTTGAGCTGAATTGATCAAACATGGAGATCTAACAAGCTAATGGGCTGAAGGACTGATGAGCTGAAGCTCCCTGTGCCAAGCTCATGCTCTAATTCTGTAAGACCCTGTACAAAAATTAAATAAGAATACTAATATCTTAAGAGTTTTCCAAATATGAATAAAATGAGGATAAAAACTTAGAATCATTGTTGAAATATTAATCATGAAGTTTGAGTTTCAAACGGATTGACTTTTGAGTCAAACTTAATTTTTTTTTTTTGATGTGTTTAAGATTGATAAGGGNAGTAGGAGGAAAAGAAAGGAGCGCAAGAAAGTCTTGAAGCTTGGGTCTTAGCTTGGAATCTTGATTTAAGGTAGGAGATTTTCTCTCAATCTCTCACATTGAGGCTAGATATATATCTATAGATATATATATGTATATAGATATATGTTTCTTCACTCTCCTTCTCATATATATAATATGA